TTTCTTTTTTTTTTTTTTTTTTCTTTTAAATAATACTTTGGAGGAAGCGGAGCGTTTGAGATGGACGTAAAAATTGAAAATGCTTTATCCAAGTATTTGCACGAGATAATCGTTAAAGTCGTAATTTACGCGCGCTGCTTCGTAATGCTGTTCCCAATGTTCTTACGCATTAACACCGGAATGCCGTTTATTTCAACTGGAAATTAGCAACTACTTTATCGGCCAAATCGCAGAAAATCAAACGTTACGATCGCGTTATTCGCAGGTACGAATGATTGCCTTCTCAAACGATATCGCGAGATTTCGTCGTGCCAATTTCGTATGAAAAGTAGGCTTGTGAAAAAAACAATTTTCCCTCCGTTGATGCGAAAATAATTGCGATTTAAATTCACTGTATGTTCAACTAGTTTTGGTTTAATTTATACGGGATAGCTTCGGTAAACGACGTAACTTCAAAAAAGAAAAAAAGGGATAATAAAAATTCCATAAATATGAATGAATTATGGTTATAAAACGCGTATTAAGAAATTTTGATAAAAAAAAACGAGGAAACGCATCTATTCATAATTGAGTTCAACGCAAGTTTAATAGCCACGCGTTATTTGATTTCAAGTCAGAAGATTCAAGTCTTCCGATGCAGATCGCTCACTTTTATTTATTAACAACAAGAGTGGAGAAATAAAGGGAGAGCGATGGTATTTACCATCTGAAAAATCTAATTACGAGATATCGCGAAATCTCGAATATCGACGACTCGATCGGAAAGGATCTTCTTTAAAAATGCAATTTCAGAGGGTCTTTTCAAAGCGGTCTTCCCTTCTCTCGACGATAAATTAAAATCGTGAGATCGAGCGAATTTCTTGTCTGGACGGGGATCGCAAAAGTGGTTTTTTTCCTATCTTTGCGCTGCATTTTCATCGATTCGACTTCGGGTCGAAGGAACGTCGGGAAGAAACCGGGAAATTGGCCGTAAAAGGTGCGGGATCCGATAATCGCGGGCCGAGGACGCATAAAAATACGAGTTAATCTAATCTCAAGCATCGCGACGATCCAAATATTGATCGTCACGGAAGCATGGAGGCCAAACACGATAATGAGCGGTTGGAGAATTTTATTTTTCCATCGAGCTATTATTCGATTATGCGAGAATAACCTTATCGTTCAATCGTATCATTGATCTGAAGCAAAGGCACTTTGAAATTTTTCCGAGAAAAGAAAATTCTTGCCCGCGCACAAAGTTGACACGTTCGCTCACTAACGACTTGGCTAATTACTTTCCCGACAAATTTTACTTCCGCACTTGTGCATAATCCACGCAACGACCTTTCGCATTTTTTCTAAACTCACTCGAGCCGAAGTTGAAAGAGAGACGAGCCATGAAAGAATATCCTTTTCTCTCCGATCCTGCTCGGTGTCTCGAGCAACAACGAAACCGATCCGTATGAGTCCGTGGAGAAGGGTGGCAAGTTGGACGTGGCTCGTCGCAAAACGATTCGCAGTATGGACGCGCATTTGCATACGATTTGAATAGAACGAAGGAGGCAACGTTGAGTGGCGAACAAAGGGATTAGCGAGGACTGGTGTGACGTTAAATCGGCGGCACAATTTCGCGCGTGTAATTAAAATTAATCTCGTTAGGCTGCTCATCGATTCGTTCAATTTAGGCTGGCGACGGGTTTAATGAGCCCTTAAAGCTTGTTAAATAGCGGGCCTCGACGCTCAACTCGATCCCACGATTATAAAAGTTCCGCGACGTTTCTCGCGCGATACCCGCGTACATACTGGATCGGGCGAAACGAAATACAAACCGATAGACGAACACGAATACTATTAATGTTTACATGACGTATTTATCGACGGTATAGGCGGATGAATGAAATTACTTCCAAGGATAAATACACGGGACGAGAAACGTATAGACACGCGTGTGTATATAAATAGACGGGGAAATTTTTCAGAGAATAAAAGCGGGAATAAAATTAAAAAATTAAAACCGATGGAAAAATAACATTGCGTTAAAAAAAAAAATTATTTGCAAAGTAATATAGGCAGGAAAGTACCTATCGACCAAAACTAGTGCTCTTTGTACAGTGCAATAAAGGAATATTAGAAATTAATCGATCGTTTCGCTGATCGAACGTGGAATTCTCATTCTCTAATAATTAAGCAACAGAAATTCCATCTATGCGCCATCCAAAATATCGAACGGAACGTATATAACGGTAAAATGATCGCTCTTCTTCGAAAAGTGGCGAAAACGCGAGAGAGAGAGAGAGAGAGAGAGAGAAGAAACTGAAGGGTGACAAAATTAATTTACTCACGATTGATGAAGCCGTTTTCGAGAGTGGCAGTAACGGGACACTGAACGTCGAAAATCGAGGAAGATCGGCGGAGAGAAGAGAGAGAGAGAGAGAGAGGTGAAAGACAACCGCGTCTGCTCGTCACCGCGATACTACTGGCGAAGGTTGCTCTACCCACGCCAGAATGAGCGACCTACGAAGCAACCCCCACCGACCCCCCATCCCCATTCGGCGTGTAACACGCGACCGACTACCCCCGCGTATTTCTAATCTTTTCGTTTCGATCTCGATCGAATTTCTCTGCCGAATCGATTCTTGATCTATTAAAATCCTATTTGCGATGGAAATTCGAATAGTGTGAGAAGGGGATGGATTTGTTGGATAACATTTTCGTTAATAAATGTTAAAGATTTCTCGTTTGTCACGACGATATTTATTTTAGACAATTAATATGATTGCGACGCGTGAGTAAAAGTATAGATGTAGGGCGCATTGAGTCGTACAGTGAATTATGCTCGTATTTATGTGCATTAAGTACTTACATGTATTATTTCTCCGGTATACATATGTATATACTGTTACGATTTCACAGTGGCAAATTTGCAGTTTCACTCTGCTAAAGCTGCCATTCTCGCATTTCTGTCATGCGTCCCTTAGAATTCAAGAGGAATTTGTCCCATAGGAGTGAAGATGTATTTTCACTACTAGAATTTTTCCATATTGCTGGAATTCGAAGAACAATTGATTTATTTTCTCCTTCTTTTTTTTTTTTGTTGCCTTTGATATATATATGTATGAGAGAAACTTGTTTTTTCTACTTTGTGATTTTTAAAATTAAATAGACTTTCTTTTTCATATCCTTTTTCACTATCTTTACTACTGGAATGTCCCTTTGATGTTTTTTCACTGTTCTTCACTTTTCACTGTTCTTTATTGCTGGAATTCTCTTTTTAATGCAAGCTGTTTTCTTATTTACAGTATCGGATTTTCTCGTTCGGATGTAAAAATTTCTCTGAATCTCAATTTTGTTATTAAAGAATTTGATAGTGCCGGAGTAAAATTGAACCTTCTCGATTATTACCTCTTCCAATTGTCAGGAACAATCCTCAAAAGTGTCAACATTTTTGAAACCGTCAATATTGGTTGCGAAAACACCCTAGTGATAAAATTGATCACTAGTTTAATCACGATCATCTGGCACCGATCTCGACAAGCACTCGACAAAGAATACTTTCTTTACGCGCATAAATTCAAACGACCAAATATACTCTACTAAAAAATATCCTGAAAAAAAGTAGCGAGTGATATTTAACCTGGAATATCATTTGCCCGCTAATGAGAGATCCTTTATATCGAAGTCAAAAATATACGATGAAAAAAAAAAAACTGTACACGATACAATTATTAATTTTAAATTCTGAGTGAAACGTGGGGGAAAAAAGCTAACAACGAAAAGTAAACCCGAAGAATCGTTACGAGCGTTTTTCGTGGATATTTAAATGTCTGTGAAAATGTCTTATCTTATTAATCTTCATAAATACGGATTGAAACGCGTGAATGGCGGTACGATAAATATTCACAATGCACATTGTTATACCGTGTTCATTAGGTTGCTAGGATTAAAAGCTTAATGATTCTGTTTACGTACAAATTGTACGTGTATGCGCGGTAAAACAAATCGCGATACGATTAAAACTTGGCGTATTGAAATGAGCGAGACGAGAATTCCCCCTTTAATCCCTTTAACTTTTGCCAATTTCAAGCTTCCGCCGAACGAATTGAAAAATTTATCCGCCGAGTATGAAACGCATAGAACAAGAGTCGATCGTTAATTTTCATTAAACAGCTATTCCTAAATACTCGAAGACACGGACGATGAGGATAAACTAAGGAGCTGCGCGAATTGTTCGATTCGTACAACAACGTGCTCGTTCAACGGGCGCACCTCAATGCCATGTGCACGTGCACACATCACTTACCGCGCTCCGTGTCCAATCGTAATTAAAACGGTTTAAGATGAGTTGACGCGGTCGACTCGAACGAGCGATCTCTCTGCGAATTTATTCAGACGTGGCTTGATTAAAATTTCTTAATACAGTTCGTGGACGCGTTTCATTTCTCGGTTACTTGAATCGCCGCTTTCCAATTGGAAAATATATTCGAACGGAGGAAATTGTCCAACAATTGTGCGAAATGATGCGATTTAAGAGAGGGGAAATAAAGAAACTGATAGAATAGAAGAATAACGTAACTGAAATGGGTTCGCGAATAAATGCGAGAACGAATTTCCCCGAAATCTTTTTTCTCTCGGGAAAAAATTACCGGCCGGTAAGGGATTAAATTACGATTCAAATTTATTGCGATGCTTGAACATCTAACGGGCGTAAAAACGACTTTAATTTAACTGGATTAAAAAAAAACTGACGATAAATATTACATTCGTAGGTGAAAAAAAAACTGCCCCAATTACGAGACACGAATTTGGATAATGCTGGAAGGCGGATGAAATGAAATATTCGAAAGGAGAGAGAGAAAGAGAGAGAGAGAGAAACTTGTAGATGGGATATAAAATATGCATGCGTTCCGCGATCATGCCAATATCACGGATTACGTAATGGCGCATCTTTCTTGAAATCACGATTCAACTCTCGTGTTTGAATTACATGAAAGTTGGCCGTCTTCTGAAATATGAATCCCGAGAAGTGTGCACAACGAGGCTTCACAAGGAATCGTTCGCTTCCTATCTCGCCATTTCGATCTCGGCGCAAATATTTGGCGCAAACAGGTGATTTTATAATTCTCGTCGAGTGAGATACGAGCTCGAGTTTTAAACGGAAAGACGGGACTATCTCCTCCTATCTCCAATTAGTTTCGAGCTTTTTTAATTCAAATATACACGTTGAAATCCCCCCAGTCGAAGACATCGATGCAAATCGGTTTTGAACGCGTTGATCGGAAGCAATTGTTCGTCTCCCTTGCGATGAAGCAGAGTTAGAGAACGACATTTTTTCGAATTTTCTTCTTCGAGGCGCGTAACGAAATTCCGCCTCGTTCGTTTGGCTAGGCCGATTATACTTGAAATCGTTTTATCGTAAAGCAAACATAAACCGATTACAGATCTGCCGGTTTAATCTGTTCTACGCCGCGATACCACCAGTTTTCTAAGTAAACTCTCGAGAGAAGTAATTTTGAATTATTATATCAACGTGCGAGAAAATGAATATAGGCGAGGCGGGGAAATTGCGTGGTGTGCAAATTTGCGCTACTAATTAGCAACTGGTACAACAAATTACAAACTACCGACCAAATTGTGGAACTGTTAAAATGTTTCGTAGATGTCGGTAGCAAAACAGAGGTTTCGCATTTATATTCCCGTGGGTGGATTGGCCGCGTTTCGAGCTTAATTTTCTTGAGAGGGAGGGCAGCATTTCCCTGTCGCGTTGTTTTGTCGCTGATATTTCGTTCTTTCGGTGGAAAATGATGCGATTGCTTTTATCAAATTGCGATAACAGTCGTTCCATCGATCGAAATTTCGCGCATCGGAGAAGAATGGAACTCGAACGGCCGTCAGATGGCAGTAGCGATCGGTAATGGAAACCGGGTTTACCTTATCGTCGAATGCTTGGCTAAAAAGTTCGATTTGTTATTTTCGGGCGAAGTTGGTCAATCACGTGGTTATTTGAAGAAAGGAAAAACGAACGAATTAGATCGTTGCGGGAAAATTACGAGATTTTTAAAGGTCAATTTTAACTACGTCGTTCACTCAACACCATATTTTTGCGCGCGAATCTTTGGAAAATTGAATTCGGAATAAGAAGACTAGAGGACTAGAATCGCGTTAGAATGCATTGCGGATTTGTAATAATTTTGAAACAAAATTGAAACGAAGAAAGAAACGTTGGAATTATTGGAAAACTTAACTGGAAAAGAAATAACACGTATTCTCGATATTTCTTGAAACTTTTATCCCTTTATTGCCATAAACCGCAATAAAAGTCTTATTTACGAGCTTAATATCTGCTGTTAATCTAGGCAAACAGATCGCTCCTAAATTGGAAAAGAAAGTATTCAGAAATGGACTTTTGGAATAACTGGTTTGCGAAGGTTTCTTATTTTGTGCTGAAATTCGATGGAACAACGTTTCCGCGTCGAATTATTTTATGAGATCAAATACATGCTAATAATCCCGTCGAATTATTATTGCAACATCATGTTTATACCCGACAAAGAGGCTATTAAATACGATCATCTCTGAGAACATCATTTATAATTCGTTCGAATTAACTGCGATAAATGCAATAATATTAAAATATCGTTTACACTGCTTATTATATAGAGAAAGACAGCGATAACGGTGCAACTCGTGAAGAAAAATCAGAAAATCGATGCTTAATGCGAAATTCATTCAATTTCGATCGAGACAAAGAGTTTGCGATTCACTCGATCTCGGTATTGACGCAAGATGGCGGAATCGCTCGATATTCCACTGACACGCTGGCTTAAATACTCTTAATTGCATCGATTGTATCGCAGTAATTGTTGACAGGTCGTATCATCGTGCTGATATTGCGTCATTTTAATTTCGAAATTTCACGTGAACATATCTTCGTTCATTTCGTTACATACCTTCCTCCTTTCCTCTCTTTTTCCATCGTCTTCGACGATTATACACATGAAACACATTTTTATTAATTAGGTAAAATTTAATACGATGAATGTGAAGCTGTAATTATGAGATGTGGTTATCGTCAGAGAGGAGAGTGTCAGAAATAAACGATCCATTAATATGGAATTTAAACCGATAACGTTCTCCGAAATAATATTTCCTTTGTCTAGGATGCTATAGAGATATTGGGACTTGATACAATTGGAAACGTTTCACGTTCGATTTCTTCCATTTTAATAAATTATTTTACTAAACTAACAGCACTCGGTTTTACTCTTCGTTCAATTAATTTCCATTTTTAGTTTCTTCTTTGCTCGTGCAATCTTTGTATAAGTAGTAAGTATATATACGTATATTAAGTATCATCAATCTCTTCGTAGAATCAAAAAAAAAAAAAAAAAAAGAATAAGAAGAGTACTTTAATTTCAGAAATGAAGTAGGTAATAATTTTGGTCTTATCGAGATACTTCGATTCCTCTTCAATAATTTCCAACAGATAGGGCGTAAGCGTGGAAGTTAATGTCGTGTTAAAAGCGATAAAACCAACAGCTG